TTTCTTGTCACCCATACAGATTTAGAAAAAAAAATTGTTGCAACAATCAGACTCACTTTTGAAAACACCTTGTAGAATTGTAAATAGAAGATGTGCGTTCATGAAAATCACACAACTGTTATAGAATCTTGGGTAGATCGACAAAATGAAAACTGTTTTCTTGTCCCCCATACAGATTTCGAGAAAAAAATTGTTGCAACAATCAGACTCACTTTTTGAAGCACCTTGTAGAATTGGAAGCAAATGATGCGTTCATGAAAATCACAAAACTGTTATAGAATTTCCGGTAGATCGATATAGTGTAAACCGTTTTCTTGTCACCCATACAGATTTCCAGGAAATTAGTGCGATATATAACCACAGGTATATATATGTATCCACATTATATATTTTGTGTCATTACGATGACAGAAAAAAAATCTAGAACAATTCAATCCGGAATATCGAAGTGAGGGATCGAAATGAAGTTCATTTGGTGCTTCCTCCCAATTTGAATCTCGTACATGAGATTGAGGAAGTCTCAATTGATATGTACCGACAGTCAAATCTCGTAATTAGTCCAGATAGGAAAATAAGGAAAAAGATGATGGTCCAATGGTATCCATCTTCCCCGTTTCCTGAGATTTTTAGATTTTTTCCGCTATAATGTTCTGTACCCTATTCACCTGGCGATATCTTTCTAGAATTAGTTGAGCTAATTCTGCATCTGCTCCTCCAATCACTGGGTGGATTTGTAAATAATTGCTCCACCAATAAGTAGGAAGTCCCTCAAATGATAAAGGTGATGGCTTGATATTGTGGTAAAAAAACTCAAAAATATTGATTTCATGTGTCCATTGTACTTCAATCATCCACCGGGTTTTGGTCACGAGCCGAGAGGCATCAGCCTCTTCAGTAGTAGGTTGTTGTCCATTCTGTACTCTGTAGGGCATTTGATGTAGAATTCCTAAATCTTTCAGAAGAAAAATGGCGTGTCTGTAACCACGATCGATAACAAAAAGGTCATCCTCAATAAACCAGTTTCTTATTCCATCACTGTTTCGCTGAAAATCATTTCGCAAAGTTGAAGCGTCGTTGTTTCTGGGGTCGAAGAAGCAAGGTCCTTGACAAAATATATGTGTTGGTAGCAACAATCAATGTTGGCTTCAATGAATGGTAATTTTTGTGTCTGCAGTGAGACTGACGGAGAACTTTGAAATTCTCGCTCTTCTCCACTTCACAATAAGTCCCATCTACTTATGCAATGGCTTTATGCTGTTCAGGATTTGAATTATATAATATACCCATTATACTGATCAACATGGCGTTGAATGTATTGTTTCCGAGTTATTGAACCGAAACAAATTTTTTCGTACATATTCATAGTAGTGAAATATGTGATCTTGAAATTGACGTGAAGTTATCCACAGATTTCTGGCCACACATGCCGACGTAGAGGAAAATAAAAATCTGTGGTTGGGATACAAAATTATTAGCACCCGTACTAATATCTGTGGCTGGAAATACCTATTCACTATAGGTTGAACGTGAAATTATTAAGACTATTTGGTGTTCAACATTTTTATAGAGTCTTGAGTAGATTAAGGCGTTGATAATCCTTTTCTCATCAACAATACAGATAAGAGAAACATCAAATATTATACACAAATATCACTCATTTTACAAGCTGACCAGTAGTGAACAGCATCAATTTAGAACCAGATGCAAAATCATTGATTGATAACAAGCGAAATACTCTCAAAATATGTTGATCATCCAAAAGTTTCAAAGCAATATATCATGATCAATTATTGGAAATGTGTCAGTAATGCGGAAATATGTTCGTCTATTTGTTGAGTTAGTTGGATTGCAGCAAAACCACATTGATGGGCAAATGCGTCAATAGGAGAATATGTGATTGTTGTGTCAATCAAGAATAATTGGTACTGATATTCCCATTAGTTGTATATCCAACATCAAACAAATGATCCTGGAACACTGTATAGGGGTTATTTACCCTAGATGTATTTCCTGAAACTTCAGCTGTTTGAACAACAATTCACAGACCCTCATTTGATAAATATGACGCAGTAGGTTCAAATACCGAATATATTGGACTCTGTTCCACTTCTTTACTGATTTTGGTTAGGCGAAAAAATCAATTCAGAATTTTATAGTCCAAGGTTTTTCAACTGATTGAGATTGTTTTGATAGATTTGAGATATTCAAAGAGACTTTGTTTGCTGAAAACCAGTCCGAAATGCTATCTTATGAGATTGGTGCCATATAAGTTACTCCACCGTTAATAATCAAGATAGTGTCATCAGCAGAAATAGAGGAGAATCTGTCTGGAAAATTAATGTCAATATCTTGTACACAAACAATATATAATGCTGGTCTAAGGATAGAGCACTGAGGCACGCACACGTTGATGTTACCTTTTCATGATTCAAAATGATCGATCTTCTCACCAAAATTTTGAGATTGCATGGATATGTTTTGAACCAATTTGATGCAGTACCACGTTTACCGCAGTATTTCATTTTATTTCGAAAAATAGTGTGGTCCACTTTATCTAAAGCTTCAGCTAGATCGCAAAATATACCAAGTGGAAACTCTTTAGCCTACAGAATCTCATTTAACCTTACCATGAATGCGATAGCAGCGTCGGTGGTGTAAAATTTTTGTTGAAATCTTAAATGAAATTCAGTTAGGATATTTTCGATAGACAGGTATTTATTGAGTTGCTGATCCACAATCCATTCTAGTACCTATGATAATGATAAGTTGGCTTGGTAACTATCCATCTCAGACCTGTTGCTTTTTGTTGAAGGTAAAGTTTTGGAGCAATTGGTGAATTTTCCATTGGAGATATGAATATTGAAGAGAAAACAGAGGATTTCAATAGTTTATTATTACTATTCGTCACCGCCATTGAAATCTCATCTATTCCTGATGAGTTTTTTGGTTTCATTGCTCTGACACAAGTAACAATATTCCATTCGGTAATTGGGCAAAACTTACTATTCCGATCACTCCCATATAAATTTCAATTTAAGAGCCACCGGTGGACGGCTGTTTCATCCTATTGGGCATCGTCAGTACCGAGCAGGCGGTCCTGGATTGAAGACAAAATGTGAATGAACAAGAAAAGGACTTGATAAAAATAACCCCGTAAACGCAACCGGGACTGCAGTTTGAGTAAAGCCAAGAAGATGATAGCACAGCCAGCTATCGAAAGCACTCGCATATGATGAACAGAAGTTATAAAGCTTCAACTCCTCTCTGTGACATACGTTAATATCAAAATACTGAAAATTGAGGAAAATTAGTTGCATCATTAAAAAAAAAGTAGCTATAGTCGTGTTTACACAACATAAAATAAACTTCGCTTTTCATTTCCATACATGAACCTTGATTTCTAATATTTATTGTATTCTTTTGAATGTGGAAATGATAAAGACGATTATTATTTAAGTACAACTATGAGAGAATTTCAAAAATATTCATTACATGATGTCAAATTGATCGAGAACGTAACAGATCATATAATATAAGAAAAATGTTTCAACAACAAATTGAGGCTATTATTATAACACCATATTTTTTACTCAGCTTATGAAAGTACTTAAAGGATGAAGCCTGTACTCAGTGTGAGGATGAAACCTGCTTATCAATTTTCTTTCTATCAATGATTTCATTATTATATATTTTACTCTTCATCTCGAATGTGATTATCCATTTCAGCAAGGATATTATGTGGGCCATGTTGAAGAATTTATAAAATCGATGGGTCTGTAGTAAATTTCGAAAAGTACGGGGAGGCAAAGAGCAAATAGTATTCTTCATACCATTCAGTTTCGAAACAATTTTTCAGCAGATTCTAGATGAATGAAATGAGTTGTTGATATTGTTTTGCAGTTTTTCATGTTATGAATCATACGTTGAAAGGTAAGACCTCGTTAGTCCTTAGTTGGAACAAATTTCGACTTTTAAAAATTGTCGTTCGTAGGGGAGCGGAAGCTGGTTAACGGAAAAACAGATTTCAAATATTTTCTCAACAGATATGGAGCAGTATTTGTTTTAATTTTTTTAAACTCTTGGAGTTCTAGAAAATGACAGACAGAGAGCAATGCAAACATTTCAGAATATCACCAGGTTCACGAATAGAAAAGAAAGCTTGTTCTCAAAATAAGATCGAAGATACTTGTGATAATAATCGAGCTAGCTTAGGAGGTATATGACTTTGAAGTTCCAGAATTGTATTTTGGTATTCTGTATATTTGTAACCTCACTTTCAGCTTCCCATCATTGTGACAGTATTTCATTCTATTCGTTAATATAATAACAAAACATTATAATATCACCACAAACAAGCTGATCAGCTTTCGAGGTTTTTTTTCACTCTGAACTTTTCTGTATCATCGTTTTTCTCGTTGATTGATAAGTACAGCAGATACTATATGTTAGCATCAGCAGGAGTCTGTAATCAGTTGTGAGTATGAGTGGAAAATAGGTGGTGATGGTTAGAACAGTTTTGGAATAAGATTGGAAAGAAGTAACGAAAGAAATCGTGTTCCTCTCCCCTCTTTATTTATTATATTTTTTCTCACCTATTTATTAAATTCAGGATGTGGTTATTTCAGTAGCCAAAAACTTTGAATTGGCAGCACTATTTGGTGAAGAATCCGAAGAAAACGTCACCAGTGATCCTCATTTTCATGAAAATATTTGTTTCGTGAAGGAAAACTCTTTTGAACCCGTGAACCGGCTACTTCGTTCATTCGATTTGGCGCCACTGGATTATTTTCTCTGTGTCTACGCCAAAAAACCGGATCTATTGCCTAAATACAGCCTGCAAAACTGCGGAAAAATTATGGAAATTTGACTGCAAACGATAACCGCGTTGGAAACATACCCATATCCAAACAATACAGTTCAGAGAACATATATTCTTTCTGTCATTAATTTCGGACTCGATTGAACTGATCAGATAACTCTACTCACTTTTTTTTGTTGCAGGTCCGCCAAATGGTGCCAGGAGCTGAACGAAAACTTCTTGAACACCACCACCTCTCTACAGAATTTCTGGTTCACCACGCAGGACCTTCATCTCTCTCGTACGACCCAATACCGTCGGACAGACCTAAATACGAGACTGAATGCGGTCCATTACTCAATAAGACTGCGCCGGACGTCTGCACGACCAACAAGTGCTCAGATTTCTGTCTAGAAGATATAGATCAGGCATGCATGATGTCCAATATTGTGGACAGCAGCTACAACTCAGTTCAAACTCTAGCCGGGCAAACGATACCGATAACCATAAAAAATCACAACTCCACGGCTCCTTTGTCCTTCTCGAACCTTCCCATGAAGTATGGCACGATGCACTACGATCATCCGGCAAGCGTGCAGTGCACCAGCACGCTGCATCAAGGATTTTTGGGGGTGTCGGACTTGGGGAGTTCTAGTTCGACTAGTTCCAGTGGTTACTGCGGTAGGAGTAAGACACTGCAGCATCAGAAGAACAAGAAAAAGTGCGATAAAATCGATACGTTTCAAGTACCTGAAACAAGTCTCGCGGATTTCGGGAAACGAACAAACGAATTCAGTTTTTCCGGGAGTGCAGTGTGACAAGAGGTGACTGACGGTTCAAGTCATATATTCTAAAATGGTTATTGTAGCCAAAGTTCATATATATAACTAATGTCTCATAATGATGAAAGAAGAGGTTTAAAGATAAACGATCGTTAGGTCCACATATGCCCTTCTTCGAAATCTTTTCTTCTTTTTATATAACATACAGAATGGAATGAAGGATACAGAACCTTCGATACGATTCTTAAAATCTATATAAAAATGAGATAAATGAAACTATTTCATTCACTGATACCAATTGAAAATTGGTGAAGTCCCATTCAGGAAAAATGTATCAAAAAAACTTATGAACATACTCGTTTGAATACACGTTTCACCAATCACGATGGCTTCATGGGGAGAATATTCGAATTTTTTTTTTTTGTGTTCCTTCAGACTGAAACATGTTTTGTGAGACGAGGTCTAGAAGAGAGGTATTACTCTTGTGTGTAGGAAAAGTATTTATCTTGAGTTCATTCCACTTCAAAGCTTCAAAGTCCACCTCTCAGTCATTATTCAAGGTTCATTTTCATTGATCCCAATTCAAAACTGAATGATTTCGTGAGAATGTAATGATGACAAGCAGATAAATGATGATTCTCTCAGTGATTCATACACAAAAATAGTTACACGACCCATTCAAATGAATATGGTTTGAACAATTTTTCATTTCGAGTGACTCGAAAATTACAAATCACCAACCAGAATTCATAGGAGGAATCGTCATAGTCACACCACAAAATAGTGTATATAGAAACAGTATATTAAATATATTGATTTGTTTGCAACTGAAAGACGGTTTGTAAAAATGAGAAATTGTAAAAGGTTGACATGGAAATTATATTTTCTTTTTCCAAAATGAATGAAAAAATCTTCAGAAGTACCTACTCAAGCTATTGCTCATATAAAAGAAACAAATACATTTTTTCCAACTAGAACCAGTCCAAAGAATCATACATTACTTTTACTAGTCACCTTTGTACTCAATAATATTCCTTTCAGCATCAACTTTCATCGGTTTTCTAAAGAAACACAATCCAAATGTAAATATATCATTGATGGTGTCTTGATATTACCAGAAACAATGATTCAATAAAAGTGCTTCTACTATGGACAAACTATTGGCATTTTATCATTTTGCAGGCCAAAGATAAATTTTATGTCTCAGATATTGGTCAGCAGACGAACGTAACACAATTACGGTCATTGTTCGCCACGTTGTGACTGATTTGAAACTTTTAGGTTTAAAAATTCATTCCAAAAACTTACCCGACAAAAGGAACAATGTTTCTTATGTTATGATGCTTATTTTATCAATCCACTGATCATCATTCCTGCATCTAAATTTGAAAAATATTCAAAAAAAGAAAAAATACTGTAGACAACTTTTTTTCAACAGAAATGAACCTTGGTGACCAATAATATGTTCATCCGCAGACATTGTGAAATAGTACGAAGTAATGCAACCAGCTGAAGAAGTATTTCTCAGAAAATTCAATGTAACCACCGTATTGATAAAAATCTATTCACTTAGGATAGGAAGTATTTTTAAATCGAGTAAGTCATACATTAAAAGTAAGGACGTCATTTCAACTCCCTTTCTCAAATCTCAAACTGTTCGATTCTTTCGGATTGCATTACTTCTTTCTTTCCAAGTGACATTTTATGACCACATTTATGTCAAGTTACCTCGATGCGACAAATCAGAAGTTCATATCGTAATATTCTCAACGTACTTTTGGATTGGTTGTTAATTCATACAAGAATTGTGATTGCTGTGATAAATAATTTACTATAACTACCCTAATTATCAACCAGTATTTTAAGGTTTGTGATTTGTTTGTTACCAACAATTTGCATTGGGCGGTACGAAATAAATGTTATCCAAACTGTGCAATTTTAATTATGATTGAAACCTTTTCTTTTACAATCAGAGAAGTAGGTATATCATGAGAATATCATGAAAATTCTCAATGGCATATGTATGTCAATTGTCCAACACTTGCGATTTTCATGACAACAGTAAGCATTACCTAACAGCTAGAACCGTTCGTCATTTTGTTCTCGCTGGGTTATTTTTCTTCAAATGTTATATCTATATACGGAGTGGGGCACATTGGATACTTTCAAATGGAAACTTCTGTTTTCAAATTAGATAGATAAAATCTGATGACTATGTCTAAGAGCCAAATTTTATTACAAACTCATTGGTGAAAACCGCATATCGATATCTATCATCGTTTCTGAATTACAGCATGTTTTTCCACAATGTGCGTTTTCGAAAAGTTGCTGTAACTTTTTTCCTGTCGAAAATTACCTCTAGCTATGAAAACATTTCCAAATCATTTTTTAACCTTCCAGCAGGCGCGGTCCTAAACTCAACAAAACCGGGCGCAGTAATAAAATGATCACGCACTTGTTGGACTCTAATACTTTGTAAATAACTACAATAAATTTTAATTTCAGGTATTTTATATACGTACATATATTTCGTAAGTACATTCTACCTTTACAAAATATTTAAAATAAGATTTTTCGAACTTAAAACAAAATTAAAATATTTCGAATAAACTAACTATATATATGACTTTACTGTAATATAAAAAATAAGAAAACTTTCAAATCATCAAACCATCTTCTCATCTATGGTATCTTATGGTATTTCTGTCATTGTTCAACTGCAAACATTGCAAAAGCTTTCTATATGGATGAGACAAATGGGGTTTTTGCATTTTTTGCAATTTTATTTTGTTAATCGACTTTGTTCTATGCAAATATGACATCTTTTGCGTTTTCCTTAATTTTCGTTATCTTCTTCTTGTTGTTCCTGCTCTACTGGCGTAATACTTTTCAGGCGTTGTTGCAGGCTGGTATGAATCCCTGATATCTGTAAACTTCGTCGAGCCCTATGAGGTGGAACTAATGCGTGTGATAAAGCTTTCAAAAATTTTCTTCTATGAGTAACATCTTGACCATTGCCAAAATATAGTACCTTAGCATTGATTCCGCTAATATTCAACATAGCAAAAAATACTAACATGGGCCAACGGCGAGTATTTTCAGTCACATTGAATGAGGCACACAATCTGTCTGTCGTGTCAACTACACTTTTAGTACTATTGTACTATTGCACTAAAAGTATAGTTGACGTAGTTGACGTGTATTGTACTTACAACGCATAATAAATTTAAATCTTTTGATGTCTATAGGTTTGGCATTTCTATCGCGTTTGATAATACTTCTATACTTTCAATATATTGATTCGTTTGTTGTACAATTATTCTCAATATTTCGTCATCTATAATGCAGCCCGAACATTCTAAAGGAGTTTTTGCCATTCTTGCAATATCTATTACACCTGGTAACTTGCAAATGATATTATGTGGTTTCGAACGAACTTTTTGTAATGGGACATTTTTTTTCTTCTATAATCTTCTTTCCTTCATTTTTTTTCTCTTCCAAAAAAAATTGTCATCATCTAAGTTAGATCCTTTCTCATCATAGTCATCGTTGTCACTAGCCTCCTGCTCCGTATCTGAATTGCCTTCACGATATTCGACGGCATATATTCACCATCTGTAACCTCTCCATTATCAATATTGTCCTATAAGTCGGTTCCGTCATCTTCAAACATCATTCTTTGTAGCTCTTCAACATCTTTAGGATCCGTTAGATCATGGTTTTTACTACAGCTGTCCATGATCAACGTATTTCCAACCTAAAACACATATAATTATATTAACATAAAAAAAAATTCAATCGGGCGCAGTGTATCAATTTGATATTTAAAGAGTACCTATGTGAAAAATACAATACGTGAATGATAAAATGTAAACAATAGTAGTATAAATCGATAACAGTTAGCAAAATGATTGACAAAGTAACAAATTTGCAAAATTTATATTGTAACGTGTATAGGCGCGATGTATCAATCTGAACAATATTCAGATAACTTCCTCTTACCAAAGATTATTCAGAACCAACCGGTCTCATTGCGTAGATGGGTGGGAGGTAGGAACAGGTTTGTTCTGGTTCTAACATCCGAAACTTTTTGGAAACTGCGCATGCGTATAGGCAAAAAATCTCAAACAGTCCGAAATAGTCTCGGACACTTGGATAAACCAGAACGTATTTTGAGGAGATCACTGTGCCACCTATCGTATATATGAAGAGATGAAGACGAGAAAATATTGTTGATCCTGTCTATTTTGTTATGTAGCATGTCCTTGTAGTCAATTCAAATGTTATCCAAACTCAATCATCAATTATTTAAATCGAATGAATTAAAAAACATCATAGAAAATAGCTCAAACAAATTTCTACATGAATGCGCATGAGCAACGGGAACAGTTCTCAACAGTTCATCCTCGACAGCAAGAACGATACGGAATGGTTCAAGATAGTTTAGGATCATTTCGAAGTCGAAACCAGAATAGAAGATCCATCAATCCGAACTTATCCTCAAACACTCAGAACACTCTATATCAACTGCGCATGATCCTGACGTCCTAGAACCTGAATTTCGTAGCACCAGAACAAACCTAACATTGGCGTTGTATCAATCTGATCGGCCGCGCCCGACGGAAGGTTGTAGAATGATGTAAAAATCTTATTTTTTCAAAAGAGATATCAATAGTTATTGATAGAAAACCATTTTTGATGAGACAACCTGTATATTCCTGCATATTTCAGTATAACTCATAATTACCTACCCAAAAACGTAGTACACTTGATGTTTTGCTAGATTTATCTTTGTAATACAGAGTTTCAAGTGTTGTCATGTACATGCACACTTTGATCAAGTAGGCTTCGGAAGACGTGGCGATAAAACAGGAAGAATCGTTCAGTAGTAGCTATCAAATAATGAAAAAGCTATTAACAGCAGTAATCAAAACGCATGGTTTCCTTTAAATTGAAAACAACATATATTATATTCACTGCTTGTAAATGAAACTTCAACAATTATAATGATATTGTTAGAACAAGAACAAACAGTGAAATATACTTTTTCAAAGAAGGTGTTCGAAATGTCTACCATCTTCTCCTACATACAGGTGACATCTTTTCTGAACATTTTTTTGCAGAATTAATCATATGAGTGAGACAAGCAAAACTTTGCATCAGTGCCGCTTTCAATTTGTGTCTAGAATTGGAACTACAGTATTGTTATTTATGTAGATACTATAGATTTTCATCAAGTAATGACCGAATCAATCAGAAAGATCTTTCGTAGGCATTAGGTCCGGTGTTCTGGCCGACCAATGGTTGGGTCCTTGGTTGGCTATCCGATTATTACCAAAATTTGCATCTAAAAAACTAGAGAAATTTTCTGATTGATTCGGCCATTACTTGATGGAGATCCATATAAATTTCATAAACTACAACTCACGATTTGATCCCCACAAACTTTATTTGAAACTAGTAGTATTCAAAATACTGTTGGAGGAGCTACTGTGTAAGCGAAACATTTGATATATTTTTCAAATAAAGTTTATGGAGATCAAATCGTGAGTTGTAGTTTATGGAATTGGAATAAATTGCAGTGTTGTGAGGCGAAGCCCATCTTGTTGGAAATATATTCTCCCGAGCTCTATCAGCGGAATTTCATCAACAAGGGGTTCAATATTTTGCCTTGGAATTTCTAAATACCTTTGAGATGTGAGAGTGCCATTATAAATGAATGGGTCGATGATTCAATCTCTGAAAACACCTCCCCACACACTATATCCAAATATTGCTTGACTTCTCTGATCCACAACAGAATGAGGATTCCGTTTTGCCTAAGTATACGAATTGTTAGTCCAGTCATTTTAGGGGGTTTGCCTAGGAAAGTGGACATACCCAGCTGTAAATTTATATAAACTTTGTATTATGGCATCATAAAAGTATTCTCAAATTCACATATGATTCGACGGTCGCAACTTCAAAAATTGGAGGTCAAAAGTCAAAAAAAACGAATTTTTGCACGTTTTTTGCCAATATCTCGTTTCCAATAGGTTTTATGCTGATTGTTTTCATTATCAATATTGTAGAGAATTGAATTCTCTATAACTTTTGTCCCAAGATTTTTTTATACGTTGAATCATTCTTGAGATAGAGGGCAGCACGAGCGCAGATTAAATATTATTTGGAATCTACTGGTTGTCCCAATCGAAATCAGCTCATTTAACGTTCATAAATTTTTACTTGATGACAAATTATGAATAATTTTCATTTTTAAATAACAAATACATTATATTTAAATATTTTCTTCATTAATTATATATTTTCAACTAAGTATCAATTTATTTAATAACACTTACCTGCCCGTGTAGTTATAAATTCGTATAATAATTATTCTTCAATAAATAAAAATTAATAGAAAAGAAGTGAAATTTCAAATAATATTTTTATTAAAAAATCTAATTTGATACATTCGTGTATGTCAAAATTAAAAAAACAGATAAAATAATTGAAAGAATAATGAGTTCAAATTTCAATTTTTTTCTTCTTTATCGTCGTCGTCTTCTCGCAGCTGTAAAAATTCAAGGGCGTTATCATCTTCATTGTCATCTTCAACCAGATTCTTTTCCAATTCTTTCATAATTTCTGGATCAAAGGACCCATCTTCGTTAACATCGGTCTCATATGGCTCAGCATTGAGACAAGCTTGCCCATTACACTGGCCACAAGCTAAAGAGCATTGCAACCCCGCTTTCCTGTATTCACATCTTGAACCACAACCACTTTTGCAGTTACAGAATATCGTATTGAGTAATTCATCTGGAGCAGGTGGTAAAATGGTCATGATAGGTTCAAACAATCCGTTACGCATTGTCCAACCCCAATCCTGGGGTTCCAAATCATGTCCTAACTTAAGAAA